GTTTGTCACAGCCCCTCGTTTGTTGTCCTCTTCTCTCTCTCTGCCTACGGTTTTACTGGGCAGTTCTGTTTGTGACGATATATATATATATATATATTTCCTGATGAGTCGGTGAAACTCCGACGAAACAGTTTGTCACAGCCCCTGGTTTGTTGTCCTCTTCTCTCTCTCTGCCTACGGTTTACCGGGCAGTTCTATTTGTGACGATATCTATTTGACGATATATATGTGACAATATATATATATATGTACAGGGTTGCCGACGTTCGGGACAGGCCGAACACCGGAACCCGAACGCCCGAACGTTTGGGACCCCCTCTCGACGCGTTCGGACGTTCGGCCGAACGCTGAACCAAAAARAAAAAAAAAAAAAAAAAGAAAAAAAAAAAAGGAAAGGTTTCCAAAAATTCTGAAAAACAAAATGTCATGCAGAAGAATAAACTAAACAACATTTGCCTCAACAGTACATCCAAATTCCTTACCAAATTTGAAATAAAAATCAAATACGAAAAATAAATAATATTAATGAAAATAAGAAAAAATAAAACGAGAATGAAATTATTGTGTGGGCGAGCAAGTTTTTGACACCGCCATCTTTGGCGATTTTTGATTTTTTTTTGGCTTTGTCAAATGCCATGAAATTTTATACATCTGTATCTTACATCATAGAGAACCTAAAAATAAAGTTTGAAAAAATAATATTTTTTTTCAGGCCCCGAAATGAAGGGAAAACAAAAAGTGAAAAGAGAAAAAAAACAAATTAGTAAGTGGAAAGCATGTTTTGACACCACCATCTTTGCCGATTTTTCATTATTTTTTGGCTCCACAGAATGACTTCAAAATTGAGAGACAGGTAGCTTACATAACAGAGAACTCACAAAAAAAAAAATCAGAAAAAACTAATAATTTTTAGGTACCGAAATTTTTTTTTGCGGGGTCCGAACCCCTTCGAGTTCGGGCCCCGCACGGGGACCCGAACGCCCGAACGYTCGGGGGTCAGCTTAGGGGCCTCCGTACGTTCGGCCTGACAACTCTGTATAGTGAAACTCCGACGAAACAGTTTGTCACAGCCCCTCGTTTGTTGTCCTCTTCTCCCTCTCTGCATATGGTTTACCGGGCAGTTCTATTTGACGATATATATGACGACATAGCCTTGCACGTGAGAGGCACAGTGGAGGTGGAGTTCAAAGAAGAATGAGAAATTTAATGGTTTCAATCTGCCCTTGTTTTTTCTTTTTCTTTTTCTTTTTGCATGTTATCACTGTGCCCGTTTTTTGCTTTTATTCTTTGTTCCGCAAAGTGCGCTCTTTTAGTTTGTAGTGATGTGACAATATATATATGGGGGGGTGTAGATTTTTTTGCGCTTTACATCCCTATATTTTTATTTTTATTTTTTTAGCATTTAAATTATTTTTAAAAAATCAAAAACCTAACCAGACTCAAAACACATCGATTTTTTTTTTCTTCTTCTTTTGATTGATTGATTGATTGATTGATTGATTGATTGATGGGGGATGGGTCGCCCCCCTCAACCCCACCCAATCACATACAACACACACACACACACACACACACACACACACACACACACACACAAACACACACACACACACACGCACTTACTTTTGAAGTTCCCGTTCGACAAGGTTCGTCCGATTCCGCTTCCACCAGGGTTGGGCAATCTATTAGCCCTGGTGCCTATCACTGCTGTTTGGTCCAAGTTGCCGGCCCGTTGGTAGGGCAATGGTCCTTAGTGCTGGTCACACTGAGGTAGAATAGTGGGATAGGGGGTGCGCTAGGAGTATTGACGTGAGGATGGGTTGGGAGGTGGTCTCATATTCCAGGACACCCACGGCTCACAGTTCCAGGTGATCACTGTGCACACATTGACTGGCCTCTAGAACACCCTGGTGCATGTTCCCACTAGCAACGGGATAGGATAGAAAAGAGTTTGTGTGGCAGTTGAGTGACCCAAATCCTGCGGTGCAGTACGTGTGATCCCACGGTCAGTATTTTACATGTATTGCCCGAAAAAGTAAGAAGATCTTGGTTCCCCTCCTCCTCTCCTTAACACTGTGCTTGGTGCAAAGGAAGCTTCCCGCCAAAATCTTTTCAATCCGTTGGGGGCATGGCCAACCCCAAAAGAGAGTGGGGTCGGCCATAGGCCCACTGGATAGAAGATTTTCAGTACTTTGCTTGCTGTTGTGCAATTATCTCATTGGGCGGAGCCCTTCTTCAATCACGGAGTATATGGAGGGCGTCAGGATCACTGCTGACAGAAGTTGATTTTATTCCAGAAAATGTGGCAGTTATTGTTCACTGTTGTTGCAACCACCAGCATCAGATCATTTGTGATCTGATGGCTGGGAAGCACTCTGCCGTGATTTCAGGTGGGAGGTCTCTGTTTCTTTTTTTTTTTTTTGCCATCCTCCTGTTTTCTCAGCCCAGAAATTCGTAATGAACCTGTCAGCCCTCTGCCACTCAGTGTCACACTGGATTGGCCACATTCCTATCCGACTGCTAAGGGGACCATGCTCCTGGACTTTGTGGTTAGAGGTAAAAATAAAATTAAAAATCGACGGGATTCAACAGGATGAATTTTTTTTTGGAACAGTATTCATTGGGGAGGGCCCGTTGTACTATTCAACGGGGATTCAACGGGGCCCTGAGGGGTATTCAACGGGTACAACGGCGTTCAAACTTTTCCGTTGCACGTTGAATAGACACATAGACTGTTGTGCTATGGAACTTGGCTATTTGCGTGCAAATGGCACAGAATTGAAGAGGAATGAAGCTGGGAAACACAGAGGTAGACTCTAAGGACTCTAAAAAAATGAACACGCAACTTGAGGCCAACCACACGCAATACCATTCACACACGATCCTCATGCAGAGATGCACAGACACAAATATGAATCCGAAGAAAGTCTCTGCCAACCGAGTCGAGTACAGGAAATAGTCTTTGTACATGCTGGGTGGCTATGGCTGCTGGCCAGTCCAAGTCACACTCAGGTATGGTCTCTCTTCCTCTTTCTCCTATACACAGCCTCACGGTTTCTCTGAATACCTCCCTCTCCCTCGCACTTGGCCTGAGAGAAGGGGGTGGAGCGGCCGTCGGACGGATGGACGGATGAGGGCAATATATTTCAAACAAGGAACTCAGTTGAGAGAGATAAGATGAGTCGTGCGTGGTGTTTGTTTGTGTGTGTGTGTGTGTGTGTGTGTGTGTGTGTGTGTGTGTGTGTGTGTGTGTGTGTGAGAGAGAGAGAGAGAGAGAGAGAGAGAGAGAGAGAGAGAGATGGAGCTCTCCTTCTGGTTTCTGAAAGTTGTCGGGGTGCCTGGCACTTTTGCATGTGTGGGACAACGAGGAGAGTTGTATGACACAGAAAAGGTAGTACAGCAAGGTAATGTAGACAAGATGCCGCATGTGATACGTTAATTCACAGCCAAGATGTCATGCACCCACCTCTGTTTTCTTTTTTTGTGGGCGAAGTTGCATCAGGTCACCTCATTGATCTATTAGTGATTATGTTGGCATTGGAATTTTGCCCGCTGTTGACTCCCTGAACTGTGGTCAAGTCTTCTCATGCAGATTCGGAATGATGTCGAAGTTTCAGCTGTTTTTTTTTTTTTTTTTTGTCGTCCTTGGAGTACTCTGAGTTGCTACTTTGTGCTTTGTTACACCGTGCAGCTGCAGGGCACTGTCAGTGTCTGGCCATACATATTGTTTGAGCTTTGTTGTTTTTATTATGATGATTATTATATTTTTTAATAATTTTTTCCCGTGTTAGTCCCCGAGCAGCCCGGCTGGGGGAAGGTCGCCCGGGTACCCTCCTGGGCGATCCCAGCGCATAATATTTTAAAAAATAGAAAATAAAAAATCCGAAAAATCCGAAAAAAAAAAGTTGTGTAAAATTGCAATACAGACGACTTTTGGCTGAGGGCCACCTCGAAATTCCTTGTTAATTTCAAGATAAAAATAAATGAGAAAATAACAGTCCAAAGATGCCCCCAAACCCCCCTGGATGACCAATCAGCAAAACCGAAGTTAAGACCGGATTCTGACTGCTTAGGCCAAGCGCAGTCCTGGCCTGAAGTCTTCTTTTTTTTGGGGGGGGATCCTTGCCTCTATTTTGACCTGTCTGGTTTTGACGGGCGACCGCCCCTCTGCTCAACTGGCCTGGGCGTGCCGGGCCGGACGACGGCCCAAAATGGTTTTTTTCAATTTATAAGATGGCTGTAAATTTCTTCTGTAGATTTCTCCATTTACAGCGCTCAAAAAATATTAGAGGAACACTGTCACTTCCATGGCATGTATTTCACGTGCAAAGCCCAGTCTAGAACTCTTATGCCTGGGAAATCTTATTTGTGTTTGTTGTGTTGTTTGGATCGGCGTTGTGCGGGTGTGTGCTTCTTGCAGCTCTACCCGTACCATCTCTCGGATATAACGTGTCGAATAATGCGGATATCTCCATTCCGTTACTACTGCGAGTTGCTTTATGAGGTGATGAAGCATGGTGCGTCTTACCAATAACTCCCCTTGCAGTCACCTCACATCTATTGTCCGACAACTGCTGTTAAACTGTCTGAACTGTCCTCTGGCAATCGGGCCCATAGTGTCAAGGGTATGCCTGATGAGAATATGCATCGGAGGTCAAGCATCTGTTTTTCTGTCTGTTGCTGGGTATGGGCTGCTTTTTGTTGCATACCTGCTTTGTCAGAGATTTTTTTGAGAATGTAAGTGATTGGTGACGACTGCAGAATGCTTGATTTTCTCGTTGCTGGAAGGCCTCCACATCATGATGGCAGATTAACATTGTGTGTGGAGGATCAAACGGTCCATAATGAGGCATAAATAGGAATTGTGGGTGCTTATGTAAGTGGACAGCCATGATAGTTCCGTGTAGAATTGTAGGTTGGAGTACAGTGTATAGTGTTTTATGTTATCTTCTGTGTGTAGGTTATGCTTTTAAACCCCTACCTGGCAACCTGTTCTGTTGAACTCCTGAATGAAATGAGGCCCTCAAAAGCACTGCCTTTGTGCATACCAACGCAAGGCTTGGTACAAGGGTCCTTGTAATGACCGTAGGAGTAATGCAGTTTCCAGGCTAGCTGTCACCCAAGATGTGGAAGTTGGATGGACCTCTGTCAGTGTGCAGACATTATGCTGCTCTCAATTGTGGGGTAACGGAAACTAGTTAATGACATTAATGCGAGTAGTAAGAAAAAGAGATGGTCCAGTATTGCATACCGGCGGACCGCTGACGGTTCCGTAGCCCACCGGTATTGGGGGTTATGGAGGTTGCGGGTGTTATCGTGGTCTCACTCTTTTCTTTCTTTTTTCTGTGGGGAGCCGACTAGCAGCCGACCGGTAGGTGCCGACAGGTGGATCGGTTGGCTGGTCGGTTGCCGACCAAGTGAGGGGCACCGGGTCTCGGCGTGACAACACTTGAGGTCGTCACAACAACTTTGCAAGTACAGTGAACATGGCTTTAGCATGTCCTGTGTATGTGACTGAGGGTGAATTCTGATGGCCACCTCAGACCATTCGGCTGTCATGGCATGCTATCCAATGGGGAGCATCGAAATAGGCCACCCGCCGAAGTCTCTGCCAGCATGGGTGTTCAAAAGCAAGGAGTTCCGCCCAATGGTAACCCAGTTTTGGGAGGAACGAATGAGAGACGTTCTGGCGGATGGTCTGTTGACGCACGTAACAACGGCACTGCAAGATCTGCGAATTAAATTGAATAAGCAAATGAGGGGCAGCTATCTGGCCCACCGAAGAACGGGGGAGGAGTACACTGGCAAATTGGAGGAGTTGAACTCCGGTCCTGGGGAAGACCAGTCGGACGACGAATGGTGGGCAGAAAGGGTGGAGGCCGCGAGGGGGTGGAGGGAGTGGCAGGAGGAGGCCTGTTGATGACGGCAATGGACCACCCTTTTGACGATCAGCAGGAGAATTTTAAAAGAGTTCTAACAGCAGCTGCTCATGGAAGAGGAGGCATGGACGTCTGCAGCTAGGGCAGCGGAGCCAGAGCAGGAAGTATGGAAGCATAAA